TTCTTCCTGCTAAGGATTGTTTTTGCTATTCTGAGTCATTTGTTGTTCCATATGAATTTTTGGATTGCTTCTTCTATTTCATTGGAAAAATAAGTTAACCTACCCTTTTTAATGTCTTTTAAAGAACTCAGGTTTGGAAGCTTATTACTAGAAAATAATATTGTCCCATACACAAGTTTTGGGGAAAAGAAAGTAGCTTTATTGAGGGTACTAGCCATCTGGAAAGGAAGCAGATTAATGTCTCATGTTCTTTATTCCATGTCTTCAGGTAAATGGAATAATTATATAAGGAACAAGTTGAGTGTATTCATAGAAACAAGCATTTCCCAGGAGCTTTCGTCTGGTCTTTTGTTGTTGGTCTTGGTCATGGCCTCAGCTCTGTCCCTTAGCTTTTTCACTCAAGGCTAGCAAGCGCTCTACCACTTTGCGCTACACTGCCATTTGCAGTTTTCTGGTGGCTAATTGCAGATGAGTGTAACAAACTTTCTTTCCCCAGCTGGATTTGAATCATGATCCTCAGACCTCAGATTCCTAGATAGGTAGGATTGCAAGCATGAGCCACCAACACTCTGCTTCTTTCACTGATGATGATGATGATGATGATGATGATGATGATGATGATGATGATGATGATGATGATGATGACGACGATGACTATTGTTATATCTAGAATTATACATGTGACTTTTCTATCTGGGCTGAATTCAAACCCCAATCCTCAGTTCTCAGTCTCCTGAGTAGCTAAGATTACAGATGTGAGCCACTGGCACCCTGCCTGTCTAGTCTTTTGACATGGACTAGGAGTGATCATCCCCTAGGACTGGCCTAGTCTTATCTGGAGGGCAAGACATTCTGCTATAGAGAATTAATGCTGTACCCTAGGAAAGAGAATGGGAATAATTCAAGATGAAATCACAGATAACACAGTATGGTTGCTTCAAAGTGATATTCCTTTATGCAGTTTTGAAAGCTTGATGTGAATTTGGGAACATTCATTAAATACTTTCCAACTCTTGGTTTTAACATTTTCAACCTTTTATTCTGACTTCATGTATTTCGATTTTTTAAAGTATGTTTAGTGATATTAAATTTCCAAATTATTTTTCTTTCCTTCTTTCTCTGGGAAGTTTATAAAGCTATTGAAATCTAGCTTAAAACATTTTTATCCCTCTAACTTTGCTGATATGAATTATTCTCCATTGGAAATTAGGAAGAAAAATTCATAGTTTCCATACCTCAGGGTGCCAGCATATAGGAACATTTTTTCCTGGCAATTGAAGAATTAAATGGACAAGACTTATGCAGATCTAAAGGGTAGCCCAGAGGTAAACAAGGCCTGGAGTATAGGAGCAGAGCACCTTCCTCATCATTTATTGGACATAGTGTATGTTAATCATCATTTCTCAGCAAATAAGCTTAGAACTTTTGAAGGAGCACATACTTTTATTTTCATTTTTGCATATATATGCACATACATATATATATATATATATATTCAAGATGGCAAAAGATAGTAGAGTCTGTGTATATATACATATATGTGTGTATATATGTGCATATATGTATATACACATATGCATATATATATGTGTGTGTCTTACATCTGATCATAACACCATGGGAGCCAATTCCAGCCCTGAAGTGCCCTAAACTCTTCTTTCTATGTGATATTCTGGTTCAGGTTCCACTGAAAGAGAAGCTCCCATGGGGAACTTCGGATTGGGATAGGAAGAAAGAGTACAAGGCCTTGGGTAGACAGAGAAGGGAGAAGGGAGACTCCAAGAACTTCACAACCCACCAAGGGCTACCTGGGAAATTTGTAGCCCCTTAGGAACCACATCTCAGCCCTAACCCTTGCAAATAAAAATGGAGGTCTAATCCCACCAACATCTACAAGCAATAGTAAGAAGTAAACTGAGACCACAGATAGGAAGGAGAAAAAAGGCTCCTAGGGATGGGACATTTAAGAAACCTTTGTTCTTTGGTGGGCAAGCAGACAAGGGAAGCCTAGTCACATTTAAGGCTCACTTCTCTATTTTCTGGGAGGGCCTGCCCCTAGTCTGCTATCAGTCCCAAATCTGAAGTCAAGGAGGGAAAGAGAGGACAAGTGCCCACACTGGACTAGTTTCTGTAAGGGTCACAGCAGATCCTTCCCTTGAATATCAAGCCCCAATTTCAACTTGGCTTCAGAGGGGTTGCTAGATGGCACCATCAACTCAGGATCTCTTTGCCAATCAGGAGAGCTCTTGTTCCTTTTGAAGAGCAGTTAAGAGTAAGGATGGAATCTTGAGCCTCATGTCTGAGGCTCAAGAAGATGAGCCAGGGCTTGTCAAGAAAAGCAAACAACATTTTCCACCATGAGATGTTAGAGAAAGAAGGGTCAAGAATGTCTCTCTCCTCCTCCCAGTGTGTGACAGCATGGATATCTTAAGAGTTGGCCATGTGCTGACAGTGAAGCAGATGTCCTCATAATGTTCCCCCATTTTACAAGTGGTCAAGTCAAAGGAATATGTCCATAGAGGATTGGGGTTGCTGTCCCCATCATACCCACTGTGGGAAAGTGCTCCAAAGGACTGGAAGTATGTATGGCTTCTGTTGCTGCTGCTGCTATTATCCCTGGGAAGCTTGAACCTAAACCTGAACCTGAACCTAAACCTAAGCCTAAATCTCAGCCTGAGCCTGAACTGCTAATGCTGTTCCTGTAAAGCTGCCCAGGGATGCCATTTGATATCCCTTGACTTGTTACAATAAGCCATTAATGCCTAGAAGATGATTTAGTCTCATGTCTGTTCCTTCCTGTCTTCCAAGATGAAGCCATTCTGTTTACAATTAATATACAAACAAAATGGAGACAGAGGTGTGTCAAGATTTTCCTAGGCATGGGAGTTTTTGCCTAGGCTTTCCAAAGTTAACTTGTGGTTAAAGGTAAGTAATCAGTATTTCTCAACAAAAATAACCATTTAGAATTAATATCAAGAATACATAAAGAGCTTAAAACACAAACAATAAAAGAACACGTAACTCAATTTAAGGAAAAATGAAAAGGCAGTTCTCAGAAGAAGAAATAAAAATGGTTAATAGATATGTGACAAATTGACAATATTCTTCACCAAAGATGCAGAGGAGAATGATTTACTTCCTTTGTGTCTAGCTATTACTCTATATTTATCTCAATGTTTTATAAGAGCAATATATTCCCTTCTTGAGGTGGGAAAGGAGGCAAAATTAATAAAATCTAAATTTGTTTCGATGTATTGGTATATTTTTCTAAAATTGGTATATTTTTCTAAAATATTTGAAAATCCTCTTAATTGTATTTTTAAATGAGTATACATTAATGATATGGTAAAGGGGCTGTAATTAATTCCATATATGTGTACAATGCACTTTCAACATATTTCTTTCTTCCATCCTTTATAATTCCATTTTCCCTCCCTCTCTTTTTGAAATGTTTGGTGGCTTTCATATATTAAGAGAATATATATGATAGAGATAGATGATCATCTGTCTATGTATATCATACATATATGTGTGTATAGATATATACGTATATAACATTTTTTGCTCAAGGTTAGTGGTCTACCACTTGACATACAGCTCCAATTCTTATTTTTTGCTGGTTAATTGGAGATAAGTATCACAAACTTTTCAGTGTGGCCTATGTTAGAATTGGATTAGTGAGCCATAGGCAGCAATCACTCTCTGTCTCTCTCTGTCTCTCTGTCTCTGTCCCTCTGTCTCTCTGTCTCTCTCTCTGTCTCTCTCTCTGCGTGTGTGTGTGCACGCGCGCATGTAAGTCCCTGTGCATGAACTCCTAACCAGCTTTTTCCACCCACAGGTGGCAGTGTCCCACTTTAGAGAAGTGTACCACTTTAGCACACCCTCAAATTCAGCTTTTTATTAGTTCATTGGCTATGAAGGTGTTATGGAGTTTTTTGCCTGGACTGGGACACAATGGATCCTGAAATCACAGTGTTCTCAGTAGCTAGGATAACAGTATGAGCCACCAGCGCACAGGCACCATGGCATGTTTAATAGGTAATTCTATTCTCTTTTGTAGAATGACTGAGACCTGAGCTATCCAATTGTTTTATGCCATTATTCCAAGAGGCTCATTCATAGTTTGTACATTATAGTTTTACTACCAATGTGAAATTAAAAGAACAAGACTTTGTATTCCCATAAAAGGTAAGGTCTGTGGGGCACCCGTGCTCCATGCCTATAATATTAGCTATTAAGAAATCTGAGATCATAGGATCACCGTTCAAAGCCAGCTCAGAGCAGGAAAGTCCATGAGACTGATCTTCAAATAACCACCAAAAAACCAGAAGTGGTGTTGTGGCTCCAGTGGTATAGTGCTAGACTTGAGCAAAGAAAGCTGAGGAACAATGCCCAGACCCTGAGTTCAAACTTCAGGATCAGCACAAAAAGAAAAAAGAAAAGAAAACAAGAAAGATAAGGCCTCAAAAGTAAGAGGAAATGATTCTGAGGAGTCTATGTTATACAGAAGAAACTTGGTCAGTTATTAGACATTGGGTTTGTCAATCAACCCTTGTCAGCAAATCAAGTTAAAGTCCTCGTGGAGGTGGGCAGTGCTTAGGTAACGGACTTTGAAGCACTCGCGCAAGCAGACGTGGCATGTGGCACTGTGACGCGCTGACGTTGTAAGCGTCATCCCCTTTGTGACCGTTTTTGCGTCCACCTCTACTGACCAACCGTCCGAGTAGTTTCTTATTGCTAGTCCTCCTCTACGGTTAGGTCAGACCTCTCGGGTAGCTCCTCGACAATTGCCTTTTCTCCTTGTTTTTCGCACTTCGCCAGATACCATCTTTGTACCATCTTGAACTTAACACCAGCAGAGACGACTTTGCGGTCGTTTCTGCCTCCCAGCGGGCCAGCCACCTCCTCCTGTTAGCCGTTGTCACCTCAGCAGCCTCCATCTTCAGCGTCGCTGTAGCTTGAAGCCTCAACTGACGTCTTGACTGGTAGCCCATCATACCATGTCTGCTTATAAGGAAGAAGACCCAGGCTTTCGAGACCAGGAACAAGCTGATAGCGACATGATCCGTGAGCCCAGGCAAATTATTCTCCATATGCTGCCGCTAGACGAAGCCAACGATGACATCGATGGCGCAGCTGCTCTTCTGGTCTCCCAGGCCGTGGCAATAGCTATCAGTGAGGAGGAGAGTGAGGAGGAGGAGGTTTGGCCCGAGGTTGATGAAATGTGGCCCGCTGAGGAGATCTGGCCTGATGTCGAGGAAGCGTGGCCCGGTGTGGAAGAGGTCTGGCCTGACGTAGAGGAGGGGTGGTATGTGTGGAGAGCTGAACAGGAGGATGAGAACGAGGAAGGCCAGGAGGAGGAGGATGAAGAGAGAGTTTACAACAATGAGGAACAGGATGAAGAACAGGGAGATCAAGGACATTTCGGGATTGATTGTGAGTTCCCTTCAGTCAGATTTCAGTCTTTTCCCCTGTAGAACTGGAGTTAGAAGTTGAGGCCTTGTCTTTGTAATTCTTATTTATTTTTATTCTTCCTACAGATTGAAGACATCAGAAGACACAGAGGAGAAGTTATAAACATCGAATCTGTTCTTCCCATAGTCGAAATAGTTTACCACCTTTGATAGCCCCTATGAAATTTATCATCACTTGATTTTGTTCCAAAGTTTGGAACCTCAAATATATACACTGCTAACGTCTCCTTTTAGGATAATATGTATCAGCATGTGTTTAGCCTAAAAATAAAAGTTGTTTGAAATTAATAAATAGAATTTTTTTCTATAGAAACAGTAGAAGAGATGATGGGGTTGGAGGGAGGGCCAAGGAGAGAGGGTTCAAGAGAGGAATGGGAGTTGAAGGGAAGAGGTGTTGCAGGGAGGGGCCGGGAGAGGAGGAGCTAGGAAGACTTCAAATTTGAGAAGCATGGCCTGGAATGGAGTGACCAAAGCGTAGAGACCAATTAGAGAGGTTCCAAGAGGAAAAGAAAAGAAAAGAGGATCCAGAACGGTAGGAGAACAGAAGGAACATGAAAAGGAGGAGAAAGAAGGGCTCAGAAGGGAGGAGTGAAGAGAGGAGGGGAAGGAGTGGGGCCAGACTGGGAGGGAAAGTGAAAGGGAGGGATCAAAGTGGAAGCAGGGCCAGGAATGGAGTAACCAGGAGAGAAGTGACCTGGAATGGAGTAGCAAAAGGGAGGGGCCAAGAAGGGAGGGGCCAGGGGGTTGGAAGGTGAAGGGCGGGGCCAGGAATGGAGGAACCAGGAGAGTTGTGATAGTTGGGGGGGGGGGCCTGGAATGGAGTGACCACAGGGGAGGAGCCAAAAAGGGAGGGGCCAGGAGAGGGTTAGAAGGTGAAGGGAGGGGCCTGGATGGAGTAGCAAGAGGGGAGGGGCCACAAAGGGCGGGGCCAGGAATGGAGGAACCAGGAGAGTTGTGACAGTTGAGGGGAGGGGCCTGGAATGGAGTGACCACAGGGGAGGAGCCAAGAAGGGAGGGGCCAGGAGGGGGTTAGAAGGTGAAGGGAGGGGCCACGAAGGGAGGGGCCAGGAATGGAGGAATCAGAAATGGAGTGACTGTTGAGGTGAGGGGCCTGGAATGCTGTGACTAAAATTGTAGGGGCCAAGAAGGGAGGGACTGGGTGGGGTATGGAAGGTAAAAGGTGGAGTCAGGAATGGAGCAACCAGAAGAGGAGTGACCTTGAGGAGAGGGGCGTAGAATGGAGTGGCAAGAAGACAGGGGCCAGGAAAGGAGGGGCCAAGAGAGAAGTGACCATTGACAAGATGCTCCTGGAATGCAGTGGCCAAAGGGGAGAGGCCAAGAAGGAAGAGGCCAGCAGACAAAGGGAAGCTAAGGGAAGACACCAAGAATTTAGGAGCCAATAGCAAAGGGTCCAAGAAGGGAAAGACATTTGAGGGGAGAAAGTTCTGAAGGGGCAAAGATTGGGTAGTGGCAGAAAAAAAAACTGCTAATTTGAGAAGGATACACTGATATACTAAGTAAATGAAGCTTAAAAAAAAAATAGCCGGGCACCAGTGGCTCACACCTGTAATCCTAGCTACTCAGAGGCTGAGATCTAAGGATTGCAGTTCAAAGCCAGCCCAGACAGAAAAGGCCCACCAGAAAACTCTGTGGCTCAAGTAGTAGAACACTAGCCTTGATCTGAAGAGCTGAGGGACAGTATTCAGGTATAGAGTTCAAGCCCTATGACTGCAAAAAGAAAATAATAATAATAATAAACACGGTGTGGTTGCTTATGCTTGCAATTCTAGTTACTGAGTAACTTGAGATCACAGAATGGAGGTTTGAACCCAACCCAGGCAGGAAAGGCCATGAACCACTTGTCTCCAATTAACCACCATAAAGCTGTAAGTGGAGCTATACTTCAAGTGGTAGCGCTAGCCTTGACCATGAAAGTTCAAGACAGTGCACAGGCTCTGAGTTCAAGCCCCGGAACAACACACACACACACAAACACACAGAATATCACTTTATACTTTTTTTCAGTTTTTGACATCTTCAAGGAAATATTTAAATAAATGTTGCAAACTTGGAGGAAAAAAAAATCTCATTTCAAATAACATTAAAATTATGTGGGGTCAAATGAGAGCATAAGGCCATGAAATTCCCTCCCAGAATATAATACTGCTTGTGGTTTACCCATTGATAGATTAAAGCTACTAATGCTTGGTTTCCACTTGTCCTTCCATGTCATCATAGCTTATATTCTATGGGCCAGAAAAGTCACATTTGGCATTCCATCAGTTTTTCGGTACATTTTTATCTCCTTAGTATTCTACGGTAGAGATGATAGTATGGAAACAAAACTGCTTCTCCAGGAACTAAGATGCTTCATAGTTAGTGTCTAGTAACTCTTTAAAAGATAAAAAATTTTCTTCCTGGAAAATGGTCAACTTGCCAGTAGCCCTAGAAAATAGATGCAGTTCTCTTAAGAGAAGACTAACATGAAGATTCACAATATTCATTTTGGCTAGTTAGCAGAGTACTTTTTCAAATGGTTTAGCTTCCCTTAAATTCATGAGGGTTTGGATTAGGGAGGTGACTTGTGTATGCAGTAATTCAAGTCTACAATCCACTTATAAAGATGAAGTTGAATCTAGTAGGTTATCCATCTATTTTGGTCCATGCTCACCTTATCATTGCCAAAGTTAACTGAGTCAGATAATACTACTGCTTAAGCTCTAGTACCTGTTAAGATAACCACACCTACCTTGATTTCTTGTTTTTTTGGATTTACATTTTTGATGTTTTTGGAAAAATAAATTTACCTACCTTTTCAAAAGAAGAATTATCTGGTTACAATATTAAGATCCATTTTCATATGCCCTACAGAATACTTCAGAGATGCTGGGGCTCCTTTATAAAAATGGGTTAGAGACTTTAGTAAACAGAGCATCTTCTAGACTTCTCTGAAGATCACAGTTGTGTAGGACAAAGTGTTATCTAATAAATCCATGCCATCATTTTCAACTCTTTTGTCTATAGTGTTATTATTGTCTGTGTACTGCTCATGGGGCTTGAACTCAAGGCATCACACTATTGCTTGGCTTTTTTTTTTTTTTTAATTTTATTTTATTTTATTTGAGAACATACTGTACAGAGGGGTTACAATTACATGGTCAGGATAATGCATACATTTCTTACCAAGCATTGCAGCCTCCTCCTTTGTTTACCCTTCACCTCCCTTCCCAGCCTCCCCCCTCCCCCCCACCCAATCATACCCCCCCTCTCCCCCCCCCCCCCGACATTGTAAAGCTGGTTTTGACATGACATTTTGTACTTCTCATTGTTGCAACAGGTCCACCTGAATCCTTAAATGACTTGTTTGTCCCCATCTCCTCCACATGTTATACTGACATCAAATATAGTGAAAGCAGAGGTTACACTGTGGGGGAGGGACATACAAAGCAACAAAGAAATAATCTTATAAATGCGTTAGAAACACATGCATGAAAGAAACAAAAACATTAAAATACATATTTGAGGGTTCGTTTTCCTAACATCACATTCTCTGACTTTTTCCACTTGGCTCATACCTATACTAGATATTGCAAATAAGGGAAACCATGGGACCTATGTTTCTTTGGGCCTGGCTTACTTCACTTAATATAATTTTTTCCAAGCCTTTTCATTTCCTAACAAATGGGGCAATGTCATTCTTTCTGATGGAGGCATAGAATTCCATTGTGTATATATACCACATTTTCTTGATCCATTCATCTACTGAGGGGCATCTGGGTTGGTTCCATATCTTAGCTATGGTAAATAATGCTGCAATAAACATAGTTGTGCTGGTAGCTTTAGTGTGGTCTTGTTTGTAAACATTAGGGTAAATGCCCAAAAGTGGGATTGCTGGGTCATAGGGGAGTTCTATGTGAAGTCTTTTGAGGAACCTCCATACTGCTTTCCAAAGTGGTTGAACAAGTTTACATTCCCACCAACAATGAAGTAAGGTTCCTTTCTGTCCACATCCCCTCCAGCATCTGTTGTTGTTAGAGTTCTTGATTTTTGCTGTTCTAACTGGAGTGAGGTGATATCTCAATGTTGTTTTGATTTGCATTTCTTTTATGGCTAGGGATGTTGAACATTTCTTCATGTGTCTATTAGCCATCCTTCTTTCTTCTTCAGAGAAGCTTCTCTTTAAGTCTTTCGCCCACTTAGTTATTGGGCAGTTGTTTCTTTGAGGATTTGTTGTTGGGTGGTTTAATTTTTTGAGTTCCAAGTATATTTTAGATATGAGACCCTTGTCCGTTGTATGGCTAGTAAAGATCTTCTCCCAGTCCGTGGGCTTTCTATTGATCTTGCTAGCTATGTCATTTGCCCTGCAGAAGCTCTGCAACCTTATACAATCCCATTTGTCCAACCTTTCTTTGATTTGTTGTGTTTCCGGGTCTCTATTCAGAAAATTTCAGCCTGAGCCAAGGAGACCCAGGGTTTCTCCTATTCCATCCTGTAATGTTTTCAGAGTGTCTGCTTTGAGTTCAAGGTCTTTGATCCATTTGGAGTTGATTCTGGTGCAGGGTGATATATAAGGATCTAGCTTTAGTTTTCTACATGTAGTTAACCAGTTTTGCCAGCACCATTTACTGAAGAGGCTGTCTGTCTTCCATTCTATTGTTTTAGCTCCCTTATCGAAGATTAGATGGCTATAGGTCTGTAGGTTCATTTCTGGGTTTTCAATTCTATTCCATTGGTCCTGAGGTCTGTTCTTAGGTGCTTGGCATTTTTTTTTCACTCAGGGCTGTAGGTAGTTCAACAAATTGAACCACACCATCACTTTTGGCTTCTTGCTAGCTAATTGGAGATAAGAGTTTCAAAATCTTTTCTGCCCAGGGAGGCTTCAAATTGTGACCCTCAGATTTCAACACACCAAGTAAGTAGTATTACAGACATGAGCCAACAGTGGCCAGTAAGCTCTGGTATTTCATTTAGTAGAGCATATCTTTGGTTTTGTGTTTTAGTCAAGCAATCATGAAAACTAATAACACCACTCCATTTACACAAGGTAACATTTAATATGGAGTTTCAGTTT